GATTTGCCATTTTCCAATCATTGAAATTTTTGGTATGATATCAATCCAGTGACCATCAGTATGTTAACACATTGCTGTCCATAGCAGCGAATTACCCCATGCATTCTGGGTAACATGTTATTGTGCATCTTAATTCATTGGAAATAGATACTGTAGAATACTTTATTTTTGCTTGGAATTTATTTTCGCTATTTTCGCTGAAGGAAAGATTCCGTGAAAATAAAATCCAGCGAATATACTTTTTTTCCTATATTTCACATTAATCAGTGAAAATAAATTCCATACAAAATGCCCAAAAATCCTTTTCAGCGAAAATTAATTCCAGCGAAAATAAAGTATTCCACAGTATGTTAACTGGAGGTAGCAAGTGCTTCTTAACATGCACTTGATATGGAAAAATTACGATGGCCACATCACATTTTATTGTGACATATATAAAATATTGTCAAGTGCTTTCATTTCATGAAAGACGAATATTCATAAGTTTCACAGCGTTCAAACTTTATGACAATTTTTATTTCTAATATACTAATTAGCAAAGAACAGGTTCTAATATTTTCCTAGTGCAGGCTAACAGTATTGAATCGTAATGACAGAAACTATTATTACCTTAGTAGCTTATTTAACAATGAATTCTTCATATATTTTTATAAATTAGTCAAATTAAAAACATAAAAAACATAACATTCCCATTTAAAATTGTAGACATTGTTCATGAATCCCTCTTTTCTCTTTAAACTTGGTAAGTTGTGGTGTTTATGATTAAAATGGTAATTGTGAATGTATATAAGGAGAAAGCACTCCATGCAACAGCTTTAATTTTGGTCGTTTGCCTTTATACGTAAATCTGTTGTAGCTTGTTTGGGACAGTGAAAAATAATTTTGTGTGGATTTGTGATCTGTAAAAATAACATTCGTCCAGATGCCGGAAGTTTGAGCTTGTTTGGTTTTTTGTTGTTCTTCTTCAGTAATAATACGTTTAATTTTACATTATGTTTATTTCTACTTACATATCATATACCTTCAGATACTGGAAATTGGTGTGGGGAATCGTTTTTCTTTTCGATATTTTGCTTTACAACTTTTTTTACAAGCAGGGAGGGGTTTTTTGACAGCCGGATTTTAGTTGGATTGAGTTTTATACCTTGTCGCAATGTGTTCATTTCTATTTCTATAAAAAATGGGTGGGTGTTCAGGTTTTTTCTATCTACACTGTTTGTTTGTAGGCATTCCTTTATCACTGACTCATTGAAAGAGGAACTGTTTTCATTAATTGCTAACTAGATTTTGGTCTATTTGTATCTTTATATCCGGCCTTACTGTGTTCTCTCCTAACCACGGAAACTCCTTTAAGTGTTAAAGTCCATATGCAAATTACAGGTAACAAGTTTGATGAAGGCTGGGGAGAACACTAATCATGTTCTGTCTGTACCATTTTGTAGTCATTTTTGTTCACTTTATATGTACACCCTTGTTGGTGTAGTCGAAGAATGAGATAATTTGATCCTGGAATACAGGACGCTTGTTGTTACAACTTTACAATAATTTGTATTCTGAGAAATATTTAACATTTTCTGATACTTCTGTAGAATTTAAGAGAGAGTAAGTACTAATAATATACCTCAAGACCAATCTGATTAAAATCTGATGTAGTGTACGGGCTTTAATTATTGTGGCTATAAACTTATTTTAATTTAATTTTTTATTACTTTTGTTATTAATGCCCTTTTATTTTACTTTGATTTTGATT